GAAATGCCAATCAGGTTGCCTACCTTTGACAGTAAATGGGCGGGCGAGGTGGAAGCGCCCCTTCCCCATCCACACCTTACCGGACAACATACGGACACACTACCAGTAGACGCCGTACTTGACACCCCTGCTGGTGCACCAGCAGCGACGTTTGCGGCTCTCGCGAGCCTCAAGCGACGCGCGGAGGACACACAGCTGGGACTCAGTTCGAACGCCACGTTCGACCGGTTAACTTCAACTGTATCTTCAATTTCGTTCATTATTGTCCTAGCTCTAGTAGGGCTGTTTTATTATCGGTATAAAATCTTACTAGCAAAACGAAATAGCAATGAAGCCGCAATTCCGTTGGCTGCCGACCTGCACGGCACGTAGTCGTAACGAAAAATTGTTCCACTTGCCAACAGGAGACAAAATGAACATCACCATCCGCGACACGGTTACCGGGTTCTACGAGGCCCTTAAGCAGGTCCAGTCCACCCTGGACTTATTTCTAGAATGTCCCGAGCTTGTAGATAGTCCGGGCGGGATTCACAAGCTCCTAGTTGCACAAGCCGACATGGCTGCATTTTTAAATCAAGTGTCACAAATCATGCCGTCGCCCGTTGAGGCCCGGGTGCCAGATTGCTGGCGCTGCGAGCCGTGGACGTTCTTGGAGGAGCCCAACCATACGTCCTCGCCGCACGTGCAGATACAACACGCGCAGGCCGTGCGCGCACGCCGCGGCCACCGCGAGGTGCGAGGCACCCCCGCACTCGGGGCCCCCACGGCACCAGGGCGCCGCGCATGCTGTGCGCGCAGGGCCACGTAGCGCCCCGCGGGAGGGCCCATGTGAGGTGCGCCCGCAGCGGCACCATCAGCACCAAGCGCCTATACGGCAGTAGTTAGTCAGTAGTTAATTAGTAGTTAGTAATAGTTAGTAAAAACGTTGGAGGACCCGCTAGACCGTATTGGAAAATTAAATATTAGTTAGTTGCCGGCCTGGCCGGGCGCGCTGCTGCATAGGCCAGAGCGCCCAGCGGCTGCTGCACCGTTGCACGAGAAGGGACCCGCAATAAAAATCGGTGCAGGCCATCAAGCCCTCATAAAAGCCTGCAAAGCCCGGCAGAGGCCAGTCTGTCGCCGAGCTTCGACGGAGCACCATCCCCGCGTGTCCCTGTCTCGCGTAGCGATCCGTGCTGTTGTGTTCTGCCCTTGTCAGAACACAACTCCCAGAATTAAAAATAAAATCTAACACTAAATTCTCTACTTCAAATTAGTGCACCAAATTAGTGGCGCTGAGGGCGCAGTCTTTCTCATGGGAATTCCCACGGTCTTTCCCACGAGGTCTCGGTACTCCAGTACGGGCTCTCCCTGTCCGTTCGGTCCCCGCTGCGGGAGAACTACAGTACTCCATACATGCGCGGGGGAGAGCGGTGCGTCGCATGACTCAGAGCAGTCTAGTTACGCTTGGCGGCGCACCAGCGAGTTCGAACGGGCACCATACCGGCCGGTCTAGGCTTGTCCCTGCAAGTCTGGACTCGCCCCAACAGCGGGGGAGGGACCCGGTCGTAAGGTCATGCTCTACGGCACACCAGGCGGGTTCGAACAAGCACAGGCAAGTTTGAACCAGCCTGAGTGCTGGGGGACTTGGTTCCTGCCGAGTGCATTTGACAGTGAGTACTGTACCGGGCCTGGAGAAATGACACTGATACACGACAGTGCACTGATCTGAGGGTAATCTAAATAATTTCTATTGTTCTATAATTGCACTTTACGACCGTCAGGGTATTTTTATATTTCCTAAATAGGGGAGCCATAAGTCTTATAGACATTTACTTCTTAGATAGGGGCTCCCCTCTAGTTCCGCTCAGTGATTTTACGGTGCGTTCCTATTGGTCAAAAATCACGTCACTTCTGTCGTGCACGTTTTCCATTGGTCGAAAATTCGTGGCCTCCAGCCCTTAAATGAAGGGACCGGAGTTGCTAGTGGCACTCCACCCATGGACACCGAGCAGTGAGGACGTCTGAAGTGAAGTGATCGTGCAGCGCAGTGAAGTGATAGTGAAGTTATAGTGAAGTTATAGTGAAGTGATCGTGCAGCGCAGTGAAGTGATAGTGAAGTTTATAGTGAAGTTATAGTGAAGTTATAGTGAAGTGATAGTGAAGTGATAGTGAAGTGCTAGTGAAGTGATAGTGAAAATGAAGTGATTGTGAAAATTGTGAACTTGTGACTAGTAGTATAAGTAAATATGTCAATTATGGACACCCAAGTGATAGGGCTAGGTAAGAGACGTTTTGTACTGTTTTTCGTATAGCACAATAAATAGTTAATAAGAAGTTGTACTGTTACTTTTCCTTGCTCCCTCAATCATTCTCGGAACTGAACACGATTGCAGTTTGAACTCACTTGCATAGAGAGGACTATGCGTAAATATGTTGAGAAGAGTTACACGAGCTCTCACACAACAGTGCGTTCGATCGGTAGCCATGGCCAGGTCATTGCAAAAGTACACAATCCCGAAACTGTCCGAGAGAAATCCAACCGAGCGCGCCCCAACGCGCCCAAAGCCACCAAGCACCGCGCCTAGGAAGCCAATGCCGGACAGCACCCCCAGGTCGGAGCCCAATCGGGGTCTCCTCACCCTCTACCCCGCTACCGCCGCCGCCGCGAGCCCCAGGACGCCGTCGGCCGCACCGTCAACAATACCGCCGGTCAAGGTGAAAGGCGGTAGCTCCGAAAAGGGCGCACGGGAGCATCACAACCGGGGCAAGGAGAACAGCGACGGCAAGCCAAAGAGGTCGAAGCACCGGGGCATCAAGTAAGTCCCGGTCACTACTGTTGCCGCGCGTTTCAAGCGCACCCGCGGCAGCCGTCGCCGACCCCTCCCCGTCGCTGCCCGCGCTCCAGGACAGCGTGGCGCCACCAGCCCCAAGCGCCGCTACATCAGTGCCGGTGGCGCCACAACAACCAAACCCTGCTGCGGTCGAGGACGCGGAGCCGGTGCCGACGGCAACCCTGAGCGACATCCTGGACCTCCTCACCGAGCCGGCGGGGTCCATCCCACTCGGCCCGGTCAACATTACTCTCGACCAGGCGGCCGAGGGGCTGTATACCGCGCTGCCGCCCCACCTTACGGAGCAGCGGTCAGTCACGACGCCGGCGCCGTACGTCGCCGCAACCCCGCCACCACACCAGCCCGCCCCTCCTGCGCCACCCCATTTCTTCGACGAGGAGGTGCTGTTATGCTCCTCCAACACTATCGTCACCCGGGCGGCGCGGGACCTGTTTGGGGCGTTGCGGGCCATGGGCGTCGCCCACGGCGCGGGCGACACGGTGTCGCACCAGGCCTACCTCCAGCACGCGGTGGGCGCCATACGGGACTTCGTCTTCCACGGGTTCGACGCGGCCTACAAGCTGCGTCAATACGCGGAGTCCCGGTACCAACCGGACATCCACGGTCACCCATATGCCACCAGGGCGGACCAAGGCGGACACCGGGTAAAGGCCGTATCACACTGCAGGCTGGCGGTGGCGTTGGCGCTGGCGCTGGCGTTGGCGGTGGGCGTTGCACCAATCACACTTGAGCGTTGCCGCTGCGGTTGGCGCTGGCGTTCACAGCCTTCCAATGCTCCTGGATACGTTAATTTTCGTTAAGAAAAGGCGCATTTGCCGCCAACTTTTGGCGTCTGCTCAGTTCGAGTTTGTAAACACCCACAAATATATAGGTGTCCAGTGTTGATTTTATAATGGTTAGAATTACAAATCGCTATCGCCAATATCAAGATTACATGTAGAGAAGAAGAAGAGCTATTATTGCTTTATTTGGTGTTGTATTAATACAAGAAATATCGAAGCGTTTCCCAGAGAGAAGTGTATGGGTGCATCACTACATTGCACGAAGAGATCGGCTTGGGTGTCACAACACTCTTTTTATGGAGTTACGTACAGAAAATCCAGAAAAGTACAGAAAGTGAGTAAAGTGTGACATGTTGTGTTACTGTAGCCTTCAAGTAAATGGTAGGAAGTGCCCATCCTACTTGTGTGCTTTCCTTTTTCAGGTGTCTACGAATGACTCCAGAAATGTTTCAATGGCTCGCTGACACTATTAGGCCTCTGGTGCAAAAGCAGGACTCACATCTGAGGCGCAGTATATCAGTCGAACAGCGCCTCTCCATCACACTCCGACATTTAGCAACAGGTAAATTGTTTTGACAAACTTATGCATCTTAATACTATGATTTTGTACCATTACTAGCTGGAGTCTAAAACAAATTTCTTTCAGGTGAAACTCAAGAGTCTCTGCATTTCCATTTTCGGGTTGGCCAGAGTACCATATCTGGTATTATCAGAGAA